TCTCAAATTATTTGTCATATAAGTTGACTCCACCTAAGCCTGCAACTGGCTGCTTGTGGACCATCTGTAGTCCCACCTACAGAAGCCTGGGCTCTGCCTAAAATTTCTAACAAAACCTTTCTAAAGTATATAATTAGCAGACACCCGTGAACTAGCTGAGAAGGGATGTGTGAAGTTCGGTCAACAGGTGGTAATGTTGGACTCATCTGCCATATAAAGATGAGGCATCTGCTAGAAGATAGCAGACAGGTCTCAACAGTCTGTTCGTGTTGAAAGAGAAATGTGGTGTGGCCAGCTTCCTAGAAGATGTTTCGGTCCTGCTCTGGAAAATGCCAGGCCTGCATGCTACTGGACGTGAGGTGTGAGGGGCTACTGGACATGAGGTGTGAGCCAATGGTCCCTGGAGACCAGCCTTACTCCCTCTGCAGGAGCTCTGAACATTATGGACTGGAGGAATTTGTGTTGCTACTTGACTCTGTTTGAAGTCTAATTTCAGAAGTGACTCAGAGTACTCAGCACAAATGCTATGGGCTATATGTATAAGGATGGTTTTTGATTCCTTGCTTGTAGTCACTCCAAGTGGGAAACTGGCAGATTATCCATCAATGGGGGGATGGTGGAAGAAATTGTGATACTTATACACCTATGGAATGTTCTGCAGCTCTGTTTAAAAGTAAGCTAAACCTATGCTTTTTGACCTGGAAGGATCTCTACGATGATTAAGAGAGAAAATCAATGCCCGACCAGTGTGGCTCAATGGTTGAGCATGGACCATGAATCAGAAGGTCATGGTTCAATTCCTGGTCAGGGCACATACTGAGGTTGCGGGCTCCACCCCCAGGAGGGGGCGGGCAGGAGGCAGCCAGTCAATGATTCTCTCTCATCATTGATGTTTCTACCTCTCTCTCTCTCTCTGAAATCAATAAAAATATACATAAAAAATGTTTGATAACTTGGAATGCTATGATCACTTAAAAAATTATACATATAAGAGAACAAAATATACAGTATGATCACAATTCATTTTAAAGATTAGTATATGGAGCCCTAACCGGTTTGGCTCAGTGGATAGAGCGTCGGGCTGCGGACTCAAGGGTCCCAGGTTCAATTCCAGTCAAGGGCATGTACCTTGGTTGCAGGCACATCCCCAGTAGGGAGTGTGCAGGAAGCAGCTGATCAATGTTTCTCTCTCATCGATGTTTCTAACTCTCTATCCCTCTCCCTTCCTCTCTGTAAAAAATCAATAAAATATATTTTTTTAAAAATTAGTATATGGAAAAAAGTTGGTATATGCAAGGACTTGTGTGCATAAAAGGCCTTGGAAGCTTTATACCCATATACCCACAGTGATTGGCTCTTCTGGGTTAGAGAAGCCTCTTTGGTAGCTAGTAACAGAAACCAACTTGAGGTAAAGCAAAAACAGGTCCTTTGACATGTTGATGTGTCTACAAAAGGCAAATCTACAGAGAGAACACAGATTAGTGGTTACCTAGGACTGGGGGTGGGAATGGGGATTGACTGCAAAGGAGCACCAGGATCTTTCTGGGCACATGTTTTTAACACTGGATTGGATGACGGTTACACAACTCTGTAATAATCCACTAAAAAAATCATTGCACTGTACATTTAAAATTAGTAAATTTTATAGTATGCAAATTTTATCTCAATAAAACTTTAAAAGGGGAGAGAGGCCACTTACTATGAGAATGGGATGGGTGTAAGGAGGTGTCTTTTCAGATTCTGAGGAGGAACCACAACCAGGCCTCAGGGAGAGCGAGGCCTCTCACCTCACGTCTGTCTGCAACAGTCTCATGCTTTCTGTTCCATTTCTCTTTAAGACTAACCCAGAAACAAAATAAAATACAAAAGACCGTGGCCACCCCAGAGCTCCTGCATGATTAGAGACACTAGACCAGGGGTGGGCAAACTATTTGACTCGAGGGCCACATGGGTTCTTAAACTGGACCGGAGGGCCGGAACAAAAGCATGGATGGAGTGTTTGTGTGAACTAATATAAATTCAAAGTAAACATCATTACATAAAAGGGTACAGTCTTTTTTTTTTTAGTTTTATTCATTTCAAACGGGCCGGATCCGCGGGCCGTAGTTTGCCCACGGCTGCACGCACACTCACTAAAATTCCCAGCATGAATAAGGTGTCCACCAGCAATGGCCTACCCAGAGGCCCCAAAGGGGAACTATTCTAAGCTGGGCAGATGCCATCTAGGTGTTAGAGCTTTATTTATTTATTTAAATTTTTATTGATTTCAGAGAGGAAGGGGGAGGGAGAGAGAAACATCAATGATGAGAGAGAATCATTGATTGGCTGCCTCCTGCACGCCCTGTACTGGGGTGGGGATCAAGCCCGAAACTCAGGCATGTGCCCTTAGCCACAATCAAACCTGGGATCCTTTGGTCCACAGGCCGATGCTCTATCCATTGAGCCAAACTGACTGGGGCGGTGTTAGCGCTTTAGATGACTTTTCTGTAATGGCCTTTTGTGGTCGACTGCACTTTGGTGGCGCCCTTCATGAACCACATATCCTGGTATTTGTCCCTTTTGAAGCGCTCCCACGTGGACTAGAAGCTTGGGCAGGTGACTGGCCCCAGCCAATGGGTCAGTAGTAAGCACGTTATAAGCAAAGGCCTGACAAGCACTTGCAATTGGGGTTTGTTCTCCTGGAATGTTGGAAGAATGCTCCTTCCTGAAACCCAGCCACCATTCCAAAAGACCCACCTGGGAGAGAATCAATATCCCTGGCCAGCACCTCCATCTGCGCTCCCAGGTGATGGCAGCTGCCCCAGTGACCCAGCCGGCACCATGTGGAGAGAACTGCCCAGAAAACCCACAGGTTCCAAGATAATAAACTGGTATGGTGTTAAACCACTAGATTTTGTGGTGGTTTCTTATGTAGCGATAGATAGCAAAGATATTACTTATTCTTTTTGTTATCACATAGCTCTGGTAAATGTTGAGATGCACAACCTATAAGACACTGAGTAACTGGCCCCAGACTGAAGTACCTCCACTTTCCCACGACACTGCTGCTATGCCCTGCAGTGGCAGTGGGAATGCTGTAATACTTGCCGGCATCTTACTGAAGGGTGACAGATGTGAAAGACCTGCTTAACACACCAGGCTCTACTTGAGCTCAGTGCTCAGTGTAGAACAGGCATTGCTGACTGAGCTCTAAAAGCAACTCCCGCCAGGAAGCCTGGACAGCTTTCCTCTTCACATCTAGAAAGCCATTTGCAAGAGCATACAATGGAGTAAAGACAGTATCTTCAATAAATGGTGTTGGGGAAATTGGACAGGTACATGCAAAGAAATTAAACTAGATCATAACTTATACCATACACAAGAATAAACTCAAAATGGAGAAAAGATTTAAATGTAAGTTGTTAGAAAAAAACCATAGGCAGCAAAATCTCAAACACCTCTCATAGAAACATGTTTGCTGATACATCTCCTAGGGCAAGGGAAATAAAGGAAAAAATAAACAAATAAGACTATATAAAAATAACAAGCTTCTGCACAGCAAAATAAACCATCAACAAAATGAAAAGAGATCCCATTGTATGGGAGAACATATTTGGCAATGATATGTCTGATAAGGGCTTAATTTCCAAAATATATAAAGAACTCATACAACTTAACAAAAGAAAGACAAACAATCCAATTAAAAATTGGAAAGGACCTAAACAGACACTTCTCCAAAGAAGACATACGGATTGCCAAGAGACACATGAAAAAATGCTGAAAGTCACTAATCATCAAATTAAAATGACAATGAGATATCACCTCACACTTGCCAGAATGGCTATCATCAACAAATAAACAAATGACAAGTGTTGGAGAAAAGGGAACACTAGTACATTGCTGGTGGAAATGCAGACTGGTATAGCCACTATGGAAAACAATAGGAAGTTTCCTCAAAAAGTTAAAAAATAGAACTGCCATTTGACCCAGATATCCTAAAAATCCTGAAACACCAACCAGAAAGAATATATGCACCCCTATGTTCATAGCAGTGCTATTTACAATACCTAAGTTCCAGAAACAGCCCAAGTGCCCATCAGATAAGTGGATTAAAAAAGATGTGGTACACAATGGAATACTATGCAGCTGTGAAAAAGAAGGCTCTCTTACCCTTTGAGATAGCATGGAGAGACTTGGAGAGTATTATGCTAAGTGAAATAAGCCAGTCAGAAAAAGTATCACACTCATGGGTGGAATATAATGAACAAAATAAAGTGACAAACAAAACAGATCTAGAGACATGGAAGCATGGAACAGACTGAGGAATCTGAGGGAAGAGTAGGGTGGCAGCGGGAAGAGATTAACCAAATAACTTATATGCATATGTACATAACCCATGGACAAAGACAATAGCGAAGTGAAGGGAGTCTGGGGGAGGGGGGATGTGTAATACTTTTAACAATAAAGATAAATTTTTTTTAAAAGCTGTTTAACTGTAAACTGCTCAAGGAAATGCTTTTTCTTTTGTAAACCTATTAACTCGACACATGCAGTGTTAATGTTTTGGGGGAAAAATTCTCTTTTAGGCAGAAGTGTGTAATCCAAGAAATTCGTATCAAATGTATCCCTGGGAGCAATGCCTTTACGAGTTACACATTTCATGCCAATTTTCAGGGGGTCATCTATAATTTCCCCATTTTTATGATTCTCTCTTAACCTGAGCATTCTGAGAACTCACTTTTATCATGTTAACCTTCCAAATACCATCAAAATGTCTGGGATGTATTAACTATTAGTAAATACTTTGTGAATAAATGAAAAAATAAACAACACCCCACACACCAAACAGCCTAGTCCTGCAGACCATACAGGTCTGCTCCCAGCACACCTCCATTGCACACCTCCATCCAGGCTGCTCATCCACTCCAACACCAAACCAACTTCACAGGCAGAGGGAGGCTGAGACCCTCCACTCCCAGGCCAACCGCTGGTGTGAGATGCTAACAGAACAGGCGAAGTAATGTATAGAGACAACATTTAGTTTATTTTGACTGTGACCAAAGTCAGAGAGCGACAACAGAACCTCAGTGACTTAAAGTCCTGCTGGGTTCAATGACAACACATCAAGTCTGGGAAAAGGGTTGGCATCCCTTTATGTAACCATTTCATAATCTCTCATCATCCCAGGACTCGGCATGAATCTTTGACAGCGATCACATTTGCTCATTCTTTAAATTAGGACAGACGAATTCTCTCTCACCAAGAGTATCAGTTTAGATACTTTTAATCTTACAAACTGTCTGATGGAAGGAGGACAGCAGCATCTCAGTGTTAGTTAACTGTGGAGTCCCAAGATGTGGGTTGAAGGCCTCTCCAGAAAGGACTGGACACAGCGATTTTACCGCCCACCTCTTTCCTCATCTTCGCTGAGAGTTTGGATGAATGTCTAACCGCAGAGATTAGACTCACAGTGAAATGAGTAAGGTCTATGTGAAGACCTGTCTGTAGAAGCATATGTGTTTCTCTGTGAAGAGCTCTATTCAAGTCCCATCAGCGTCGGAGCCTCAGAAAGAACGCATGTTTACACTCGGTGCTCTCCAAGGGGTAATACTTATCATAGAAATCTAAAACATATTCCTCAGTCTTGAATCCAAACTTCTGGTACAGCAGCATTGCTGGGTTGCTTGCTGAGACGTGCAGAGTGACATCCTTGCCCATGCAGGTCTGTCAAGAGAGCGGAAAAATACAAGATGAAAAGGAGAACGCCCGAGGGAAATGAGTAGGTGAAGAAACTCTTCTAAGAGGAGGTAGATGGTTTTGGAAACCAGAGATGTCAGGGACTGAAGCTGAGACTTCGCAACACCTGGCAACAGCTGGAAACCGAATGACACTTTGCCACTGATCAAAACATCCCCTGAAGCATTCGTCAACACCGAGGAAACGGATGGCATGCTGAGTATTCTTTTCTCTCTGAAGCAAAGGGCCAAGGGAGATATTTCATTACCAACTGTATTATTTATAATTCAATTACATTTACATGTCAAACATACTTATACCAAACTCCATGAAAATTTTGAAGAAACAGTGAAAAAGTAAGTTCTGCTTTTAACAACTAGATGTTAAATTATGTGACCAAATATGAAATATTAGGACTTACATTTAATTATAAAACCTGAAGAATCTATACAGACCTTCAAAATCCTAAAGTCCACCTCCCACCCCTCCCAAAGTGACAGAATTCACTTCTCAGAACTGAGATTTCTATACTTACCATCGCCCACTCCTAGGAGAAAAGAGTAATAATCGTTCTCCCAATACAAGGCAAGTCCTTAGATTCTGTAATTAGGTACACAGACTGAAGCAGCCCAAAAGTAATATAAATAAAGAACTTCTTTTTGTGAAGAAGGCACCGAAATACTGAAGTTGATAGGGTTCTTAAGACTTCATAGTCCATGGTTCCCCCAAGGCCTGAATTAAGAACTCTGTCAAAGGCAGACGGCTACCTTCCATTCTCTGTTGAACTCACATCTGCGTCTAGTACACCAAGGACAAGAACGTGTGCTGAGGTAAGGCCAGTGTTCTTTCCACTGCAAATAAGCACAGTCTGACCAAGGCCATCACTGAGTGCTACTGACTGAGGGAGACTGTGTCTGGGCCTGGGCTGTGGGCTTTGGCTGTGGGCTAAATACCTGCAAACGAAGATGAACACTCTTCCTCCAACCCAGGAAATGCTCTGTGTGGACTGACCAGGCCAGGCCTGTGTCAAGCAGACACATCAAACTGTCACCCCTGCCTGCCCCCAGCCCTTGGCAGTGAAGGGAAAGGCACAAATCCTGCAGGCAGTCTGGTAGGCTAGAAGGAGAACACAGAGTAGAGGCTAATTCTGCGAGTGAAGTGGGCAGAGAAAAGGGGGGTGTGGTAGAAATCACTGAGAAGGTCTCAGTCCAAGACAATACAGGTAGCACATATTAACCGCTGAGAGAGGTGAGAGAAAGCAATTTCTAGAAGATGGTTCTCAAGGTTCTGGCCAACACTTGGGAATTACTGAGCAAGTCTCATTAAAAAGTGGATAAATATTTTATCAATTCCATCCTCTATTTAAAAGGAATCCTGAAAACCAAGCTTACAGATACAGAACACAGACTGGTGGTTGCCAAGATGGGGGGAAGTAGAGGGTGGACAAAATGGGTGAAGGGAATCAAAAGGTACCAACTCCCAGTTACAACATAAATAAGTCATGAGATGTAATGTGCAGCATGGCAACTATAGCTAATAATACTACACTGCATATTTGATAGCTGCTAAGAGAGTAACCCTTAAAAGTTCTCATCACAAGAAAAACAAAATTTTTAAAATATGTATGGTGATGGATGGTAACTAAACTTAATGTAGTGATCATTTTGCAGCATATACAAAAATTAAATCATTATGTTATACACCTGAAATTAATATAACGTTGTATGTCAATTATACCTCAATAAAAAAAAAATCCAAAACCAAAAAGGAATCTTGACCAGTAACACAAAATTGCCCATACCAGTTGGTTTCTAAATAAAAGTTACCAGAAAATTCTGGGTGAAAACAAAAATCTTCGCATGTTTTTCTGATGTTAGTATATAAGTATATGGTATACTTTCTTCAAAGATGATCCAGATATATCAAAGGATGAATTATAATTCGTTATTAAAATCAAGTCTTTGAAGGTTCATACCAGGTTATAAAGTGATGGTAAAATGAAAAACAATCAAGAATTACAGACTATGTACTACTGACTGATACAGCTTGGCTAAAATATTTTAAACCGCTTAAAACTAAAGATCATAGCTCCATCTCCATGTCGGCGTCGTGGCGGTACTGATTAAAACTAAAAATCATAGCTCCATCTCCAGGTCGGCGTCGCGGCGGTGCTGATCCTAAGAGCAGCAGCATTACCAACATGGATAGTACAAGTGCTTCATGCTTTCCCTTTGGCATTGTCTCATTTTATTTACTACACATATTTACAAACTGGCTTCTTTAAAACCTGGGTCTAAATAGCAATCTTAGCCCTGGATGGTGCTACTCAGTGGTTAGAGCGTCAGCCTATGTTTCTAAAGGTCACAGGTTTGATTCCCGGTCAAGGGCATGTACCTGGATTGCAGGTTTGATGCCACTGCTTGCAGAAAGGCAACCAATCAATGTGTCTCTCTCACACTGATGCTCTCTCTCTCTGTCTTTCCCCCTTCCTCCCTCCCTTCCACTCTCTCTAAAATTCAATGGAAAAAATATCCTTGGATGAGGATTAACAAAAAATAAAAAAATAAATAGCAATCTTATTTTAGAGAGGTGAAGATTTTTGTCTGTGTGTTTTAATAACCTCACAAATGATGGTGACTGGCTTTCTGTCACTTGGTCTCATATTCCATTGGGCTGTGCTGGGAGGGCCCCGCTCAGATTCACCCCTCCTCCAATTCCCTCCAAAGAGCCCAGAACAGTGATGGCGAACCTATGACACGTGTGTCAGAGGTGACACGTGAACTCATTTTTTTGGTTGATTTTTCTTTGTTAAATGGCATTTAAATATATAAAATAAATATCAAAAATATAAGTCTTTGTTTTACTATGGTTGCAAATATAAAAAAATTTCTATATGTGACATGGCACCAGAGTTAAGTTAGGGTTTTTCTGCTGGAAGCCAGTCCATCCTTGCCGCTTGACACAGTCGCTGCAGGGAAGAAACATCTGCACAGCATATGTTTCAAGGGACCTGGCGTATATGGCATGTTGTTCTTAATATGTTTGCTCTCCTTCTTAGCGCTATGTGTTTTAACCAGGGTCACCTCTCCGAAAAAGGTTGTTTCCCCAGGTGGAGATTTTTCCCTGGAGTTAGGGATTAACAGGACTAAGGAAGGGAATAAATCAGTAAAACCCCTTAACTAAGTGCCAGGCCGGTAGTTAGTTAATCACTTTAACTATGAACAATCACGCTTAAGCTACATAATCTTTACTTAGGATAATCTCCTTCAGTTACTTCCTTGTAGCTTAACAGAACAATAGAGTAGTGACCTTGGAATGGAGATAACAAACGCCCTAACCTTTGGAATAGAATGGATAGGATTAAAATCAACTGGTATAAATACAGATGTAACAGGAGAATAAAGACAGAACCTGGCTGGAGAACCTGACTAGAGAACCTGGCTAGGCTGCTGATCAACTGAATGCTGTTGTGTCATTCCTTCTTCGCCAACTCTGTCCACACCTTTGGGAACCCCTCGACCTGCTGGGGTTGGACCCCGACATTTTTCAAAATGCTGACATGCCGAGCTCAAAAGGTTCGCCATCACTGGCCCAGAAGCTAGTGGGTAGAAGATGAACACAGAATACATACCTGAATCAGATGATAAATCATGAAAGTTGCAATCCCTGCTCTTCTCCATTCAGGATGGACAAACAGAAATGAAATGTAAGCTTCGTTGTACTTCACGTCAGGAACCATGAAGCCAAAAGCAATGATAACTTTTTTATACAGGACGACAACACTGAAGTCTGGATACTGCAGGCACTCAGAAAGGTCAATGCCTAAAGAAAAGAAACAATCAGATTCACACCATGTGCCTTTTGAAACTAATGAACACCAAGCTGTTCAGTCTGTACTTGCAGCTACACCTGTATGCTAAAAAAAACCCACAAAACAAAATGAGACAAAGATACTATCATAGATACCACACATTCAGATCATAAAATTAAAAGTGCATTTTAGAATATACCAAACTTAACACCATCTTTTCTAAGTACTTGTTAAAAGAAGGAGAGGCAGGATGGGGGGTGGGGGGGTAGCAGAGTGAACAGGGTCAGAACTGAACACACCTGTTTTGAGCTCAGGCTCCTTGGCCATGTGTATCAGTGGGCACATCGCTAAAGTCTTGGACTTAGTTTCTACATGTTTAAGGTGAAAGTCCCTAGACCGCCTCACAGAGTTGGAGGAAAGATCCCATGAGAGTGTCCATATCATTGTATTCTTTACCTCAGACATATTCAATTTATAAGCTCTTTTGTACAAACTCTACATTTTACAATAAAAAGGTTAAATAAAAAATGAGTCCTTGCATAGCGTATGAAAGTCACCTAGTGTACAGGAAGGAAATAGTAAATGCTCCCAGAATGTTCCTTTCAGCCCCCATACACTCTCAAAAGAGCACGCGCAGCTCTGCCACCACACGCACTACTACATGATTGCCAGACAAAAGATCACAAAGCTCTCATCCCAATGAATCTTATCTAACATCTGGAGACGTATTTCCCACTTTATATTTCAAAGCATAGTGGTAAAGCAGATCCACAAAAAGTGTGTTTATATTTAGCAATGAAAATGCTCTTCTTTAATTGATGGCTCTGGTCATTAGAGACAGTTAGTATATTAAGGCTGATAAAATGACAAGTCATATTGGGTTAAAGTCTATGATTGGGGTATTTGGCTTTTTAAAAACACCTTTTGGCTCTACTAATATTTTCTAAGGAACAGCTAAGTAAGCAAAGCATACAGAATTATTAAGCAAATTCAAAAGTATCCAAATGCCCCGCTACCAGTCTGTGTTTGGCTGATAGATATTACCTGATATCTAAACATATGTAGAAGCAAACAGGATGAATCTTTTATTCTGGAAGCAGAGACAAACAGGGAAGAGAAACAAACAAAAACACTGTTTATTAATTTAAATGCAGGCTTTCCCTTGACCTTAGAAAAGAAAGAGATATTTATATTTTAATATTTCTATATTAGTAGACACAAACTGAATAAAATCATAAGTAAAAATGTTAGGGTTACATGACATACACTAATTTAAAAAATCATTAAAATGTATTCTATTGAAAACCCATCTGCCCAGTTTGAGAAGGGGGAACATACCAGGCCAGAAAAACTCCTGACACATAGAGTTGATCGTTGGGATGTGATTTGGCCGGACATAGCAGTAATCGAGAGGTGCATCGGGCTCCGGCATCCAGTGAGGGTCATTTCTGTGCAGGTGGGAACGAATCTGTGACAGGAGCTGCAGTTTGGGTGGTTTTGTTTCATAATCGCGCCTCCAGTACCACAGAAAATAAACAAATTCAAGTAAAAAAAATACTCAATATTATTCCTAGCCATTTGATTCATGCAAACTCTGATCTGCTTGAAATTTTGAGTTAATTTGCACTACTTTATATGGCAACTAGCTTGACAACAGCTACAGGACTTTTTGGTATAAATTTAAAATTTACTCTTTCAACATTTGTCAGACGAAACCCCTCTGTACCCGCCAGGAACTCTACTGGTGCTGGCGAGGGTTATGAACAGAGTGAGGAAACAAAGAGCATCCTAATTTAACCCTCTGAGTGCTCTGACCAAGACAGAGTCCAGGGCAGGGGAGATCCAACCCTGCCAGGGCAGCTGCGGACCACTAGTGCCAGGGGAAGCAGAGCAGGCTCCACACTGCCTGTCCACGTGTCTGCCTGGGAGGCAGTGCTGTGCAGGGAGCAGGTGACTACGAGCTGCAGAACAAGTATCGTCAACGGAGACCATGTGCTCTGTCACCACATCCAAGATAGCACTGGGGGCCTCTCTTGTCAGCTCAGCTTTGTGGCACAGCCTAGCCAGGAGTGGGGAATGGCCATATAAGGCCCCCGAAATCATTTGGTCTGGCCCTGCCAAGGCATTAGGGGTGAGTTAATTAAATGTTTGACCAAATACAGCAGGCTAGTTTTTAAGTTGATAATTTGTATGGCCCGAAAATGATGTTATAAATATCCAAATGGCCCTTGGCAGGGAAAAGCTTCCTCACCCGCCCTAGACTCATCATTAGAAACTGTCCCAACATCCAGTCTAGGCATAGGTCAGATGGAGACATCGCTGCTATTTTTTTATTTCACAGACTACTAAATATATACAACTTTAAAATTTTAAATGAAACAATAAATATGATCATCATAATGATATCTAACAGAGTTAACTTATCCTTGCTTTTTATGTTTTTACCAAAGGGCCATCCTTTCTGCAAACAAGTACAGTTGAAACAAGTCAAGGCTGAGCTAGACACAGAGCACAGACTCAGCCCTTGATGACTCCTGCTCACAGGTTTTGGTATTTCTTCACTCCGGCAGAGAGACGAAGTGCAGAAACCACAAACATTACTTCTCATGACACACTCAACATCATGCTCTTCTCCATATACCTGATGTACGGTTTCAAGATCCGAGAAGTGTAAGGGCTGATAATACTCTGGTCCACAGCCAAATCTTCTGATCCTACCAAACGGTACAAAAACTTGGTGGTTTGGTGCCGAAATCCTTTCCTGGATGGCAGGGCAGTCTATGAGAAAGAAACACTGGTTATATAAAAACAAAATTATTCAAAAGATTGGTTTAATTCCCACAGATAATTAGTACTTATGACATTTTTATGTATTGGAAAGGTCTTTTTACATCACATATTTGAAAAGCTCATTAAAAAAAAATTTCATTGTGCCCTAGGCGGTTTGGCTCAGTGGGTAGAACATCAGCCTCTGAACCGAAGGGTCCGGGCTTTGATTCTGATCAAGGGCACATACCTTGGTTGCAGGCCCCTCCCCAGCTTGGGCCCTGGTCAGGGCATGTGCAGGAGGCAACCAATCGATGTGTTTCTCTCACACTGATATTTCTCTCTGTCTTTCCCTCTCTCTTCCACTCTCTAAAAAAAAATCAATGGAAAAATATCCTTGGGTGAGGATTAAAAACAAAGTCATTGTATAAAATAAGACATGAAAAATTCATCCTTGTTGTAATAGTTTCAAATTAAAATAATTAGCCCTAGCCAGTTTGGCTCAGTGGATAGAGCATCAGCCCAAAAAATCAAGGGTCCTGGGTTCAATTCCGATCACGGGCAAGTACCTCGGTTGTTAGCTTGATCCCTGGCCTCATGTGCGGGAGGCAACCAACATGTCTTTCTCACACCAATGTTTCTCTGTCTCTCTCCCACTCCTTTCCACTCTCCAAAAATCAATGGAAAAAATATCCTCAGATGAGGATTAACAAAAAATCAAATAAAAATAATTTAAAAATTTTTTAAGTAATTTTAAAATGTTTAAAGTCATTTAATTGAGTGAAATGCAGGATTGAGCACAGGATTTATAGCTTCTATAGGTTTCATTTTATCTATATTACACTTTCAGTCAATTCATCAAATATTAACCAGCACCAGTGACATGAAGGTAACATATATACCGGGGTCGGGTTTTATGAGTTTAGTTTGTTACCCAAACAGCCATGGGGACCAATTATTGCAATACTTATATATGGATTTATTAAAATATGTCTCCATTCCATTGAGTAAATTTGACAAAAGTAGGACCGTACAGATTATCATCCCTAAAACAAATCACCATAGTGGAGCGGCCCTACCAGAGGTTCAAGGAGGATGTGGTTTGTCTTTGCTCCTTAGGCAGGTGTCCTAACTGAACAGGTAGGTTTGGCCCTGGGAGTCTCATCGGAGATGTCTGTTCTTCAGCGAGTGCTGCTCCAGGGCCCGCAGTCATGTAGTAACAGAACATGTGCAATTAGGGTTTTATAGCAAAGAGTTCAAATGGAAGATTAAAAGGCACACTTATAAAGTAGTTTGCCAAGGAATGGATAAAGTTTAGAAACTTGAGTTGTTTTTGTAGAATCAGTTTGCTCTTAGCCTAGAAAATAACTTTGTTGGAAGAAGAGCAAAAATTTCTTCTTTTATAATTTTCTCTTATGATCTTACCAAACTGGACACCAAAACTTTCAAAAGCCAACTTTGAAATTCTTCCAGGACTTTAAGTTTCAAAGTGAAATTGAAAGCTGTGTAATACAGTTTCCAAATATGGCCCCAACAGTTCTTCCCCACCTCTGGGTACACATGGCTCCTCCTATCACAAGGCAGAGTCAATTTCCCCTCCCCATGAATCTGGTGGGCTTGTGACTGACCAATCAGAAAGTGGCAGAAGTAACATTCTGGGACTTTTGAGCCCAGGCCTAAAGGGGACTGGCAGCTTCCACTTTTCCCCTCCCGGAGTCCAGCTGCCATGGTGTCCAGGCTGGACCACTGAGCGACTGGAGGCCACAGACACAGGCTCTGGAGGAAGAGAAGCCGTCCTGTTCATTCCAGTCCTGACCCAGCTCTCAACTAAACACAGCCACAGAAGAACCACCCAATTGAGCCCAGCTGACCCAGAGAATCAGAAGAAATATTAAATAGTCACTGTTTTAAGCCACGAAGTTTTGGGATGATTTGTATGCAGCAATAGACAACTGAAACACCAGCGATTGAACCACTAGCCCGCGAAAGACTATCCACTCAATGTCTCAAGGTGAGTTCTGTGGAACTCTGTGGATATTATACAGGACCCCAACTTCTTTCCATTGCCACTGCTTTCCCAAATCTAAACCACCCTCAATTTCTGTCCAGATCACTACCAGTGCCTCCTATCAGTCTCCCTGCTGCCTGCCACTCTTACCCCATATCATCCATTCTCCACACAGCCAGATTCTCCTTTTAAAAACTAAATTCACCTCCCTTGAGGAAAGCTCCTATCTGGCTTTCCACTATAAGTTCATAATACAATTCAAACTCCTTGCCGTGACCTGCAGGATCTGGCCCTGTTACCTCTGTGGCCTCATCTCCCATCATCGCCCTCCTCCATCACTATGTTCCAGCCTCAGACACCAAACGAACTCCTGCCTTAGGTCCTGTGCCTGAGTCTTCTGCCCTGAACCTTCCTCAGCCCAGCTCCTCCTTGTGGATCAGAACTTGGTTCAAGTGTTCCCTCTACAGAAAGACCATCCCTAACTACCCTGTCCGAAGTGGCTGCTGCCCTCTGCTCTTCCATCTCACTGCAGACTCACCTTGTGGGAAGTGATCCTGTTTGTTAAGGGAGTTAGTTCTGTCACCTCGATGCTCGCTGGTGGCAACTCCATAAGGGTGGGGAACCTTATCTGTCTTAATTCACTGCAGTATTGCCCAAGAGAACAGTGCTTGGCATATATGAGGTACTCAATGTTAGTTGAATGACAAAATGGTTGGGGGAGGGGGGAGGTCCCAAAGTCAAATAAGTTTGGAAAATGTTAAATGAGCTTCTCCAAACCTCTGGTTCTAAACAAAATGGGGAGCTAGGTGGCTTGTTGGTTCCCTTCCCCAACCCAATTTGGGAGAAGTCAAAAAGTGAGAGGGAAGACGGAACACAAAGGCTATGAGAATCCCTGCCCACTACTGGACCATCTTTTAACCCTAAGGAGAAGTAGCCCAGAATCGCAGCTGCCCTGCTTGTCTTCACCAAGTTCTCTGACACTCTACTCCCTGCATCAGCTGAGGATACTTGCCCCACAAATAACTGCTGATCTACCTACAAGTTGGAAGGAAGCATGTCAGCCCAGACAGGAAATGCAGAGGACCCCACTGCCATGGCCCAGACTTCTGTCACGTTCCCTGGTATACGCTGCAGCTCAGGTGTTGACCTTGACCACTGACCACTCCCTAATGTTCTTGACCACTGACTTCTCCAGGAGGGGCTCATGGAAGGTGCAGCCAGAACATAACTGTATGAGTTTCCTGGAGCTGTTGTATCCATAGGGTGACTCAAAACAACAGGAATTTATTCCCTCAGTTCTGGAGGCTGGAAGTCAGAAGTCAAGGTGTCGGCAGGGCCATGCTCTCTGAACACTCTGGGGGACAGACTGTCCCGTGCCTTTCTCCTGGCTTCTGGTGTTGCCAGCAATCGTTGGCATCCCTTGGCTGTGGACCTAGCACTTTGCCTTGTCACATGGTATTCCCTCCTGTGTCTGTCTCTGTGTCTCATCTCTTGTAAGAACACTGGTCATATTGCATTAAGGGCCCACCCTACTCCAGCATGATCTCATCTTAATTAATTATATGTATAGGGGCCTATTTCTCAGTAAGTCACATTCACCTGTAGCAGGAGTTAGGACTTCAATATATCCTTTTGTGGGACACAGTTTATCTACAATAACCACCCACAGACTACTCAGCTTTATCTTCTGGAAACCTTCATCTAAGAGGTAATTTCCTTCCACAGCTAAGTGTTTCCCACTTCATTTTTTAAAAAATAAAAGTATAGTGTTTAGGGATATAGTCATTAAAAAAGTAGAAGAATGATTAACAATAAGTAAGAGAATGACTTCCTCTGGGGGGAAGCAGGCAGTGTACAGACTTCTCAGGTGTTTGTAATGCTGTTTCTAAACCCAGGAGCTAGAAGCACAGGCATTTATTTTATTACTCTCTAAGCTATACTCATATGTTCCATGCATTCTCCTTGGGCATTCTTCTATGGGTATGACACATTTCATAATTAAAAAATAAAGTATAGATATTAAAAAGAAAAGCTCATGAGAACAAAGAACAAACGAACAGATGATGGCAACAAAAGCATATGAAAAAGTGCCAAATGACGTGGACTTGAGAGACAAAACCTAAAGCAGCAGGGAGGCCAGGCCAGGAGCAGCAGGATTTGCAGCTCAGAGCCTCAGGCAAGGGCAGCAATAGGAAAGGCCAGGTCCTACTAAAGCTCAGAGTCCTTTACTTCAGAGGTTAAAGCCCCCACTGCCCATATCCAAAAATGATCTTCCCTTTCATGGGCAGAAGACTAGACTCTGCAGAAGCTCAAAGGAGAAAGATTCTGGACACAGGGGCCCTGGCACAGCCAAGGGTGGAAGTACTGTCTTAAAACAGGGTCACTTAATGGAAATTTTCCAGCTGAATGGTCGGCTCCTGGCCTCCCTTACTTGGCTCCTAAGGTGCAGGCAGGCAGGTTACTACTTCCCAGAAAAGATGAGGAATAGGAGAAAAAAAGAAAATTAAGGGGATCCATTTGGAGTAGGGGTCATGGGCGAACTACAGCCCATATGCCAAATCCAGCCTGTTTTGGTAAATAAAGTTTTATTGGAGCACAGCCATGCCCATTCATTATATCTTACCTGTGCTGCTTTCATACTACAACAGCAATGTTAAATAGTTGCAACTGAGACTGTGTGGCTTGCAAAGCAGAAACTATTTACTATCTGACTCCTTACAGAAAAAGTCTGCTAACCCTTGTCCTAATAGCAGTGCTCTGAAAAGACAAACCAGAAAAAACAGAAGATAGGAAATTAAGAAGACTTTCCAGAACTCAAGGACTTTCAAATTCAAAGGGCCCACACACCAAATGCTGAGCACAATGAAACAAAAAACCCCACACAGGGTACACACTGAATAATACCAGAACAATGGCAACAAAGAGAAGAGCCCACTTTAGTTGCCAAAGAACAACAAAACAGAAAAATGTGCAAAGAATCCAATAGGCAATTCTCAGAGAAACAAGGAGGGAACATGATTACAGTTGTAACCTCACCTGTAATCAAAGAAAAGTAAATAAAAAACAAGTTTTCACTTTACAGCTCAGTTAGCTTACTAGTAAGAGGCTGGTTAAGAGCAGTGCTAGCACAGATACAGGGAATCTAAGACCTCTCATTCCTGCTGTGTGAAGGTGTGTTCTGGCAGCTCTGAGTGGAATTCATTGTTCCAGGAGCACACTTAGCCTTGGGTTCCACTGAGTCACTTTGAGCCACGCTGACACCACACTGCTCCCCTGGCTGCTATGTCTCCAGGCTGTCTTCTAACCCACAGATGGTTACATGTTTTCAGATCCTGCTCAGCACAGGGTCTGGTACACTTATGTTCTCAACAAAACTATCAATCAAAGTCATGACACAAACCATGTACGGCTACCCTTAGGGACTACATGATACAAAGAAAATGTCTAGGTTCTGCCTGAAATGCCCAAAGAGGAAAATAACCCAGCTGAATTAAGAGGTATTCATACTGAACAATTTCAAAAAATAAAGCCCAGCAATTTTTCTATTTTTCTCTCTTGCTGTTTTATTCTCTCTCCCAAAATTACTCAGGACTTGAACAGTCACTGCCTAATTGTGCCCACTCCCTGGTGCTGCCTGCCCCACCTCCACTTTAGCATGTGTGTTAGCTCACCTGGTACCGGTCAAGGATTCTGAAGTCCTGACAGGTGGTTCTGTATGTGGCTTGGCCAGCTGGAAGCCTAGAAACTCCTTCTTTGGCTCCATAAATCCCATCAACTAACAGAAGAGCAGCATTAACAACTTGATCCAAGTCAAAAAGTGGTAATCCCCTATCCCTTTTTGCTTGTCTGACAATCAGTTTACGCTTCAGTCTCCGAGCTTCTGGTGTCATGGCAACGGCACTGGGACAAGCTTCCAGCCTCTTCAGGAGCAGCTTCTCCTCATAGATGCTAACAGGGGTGTACTTGGGCCCTTTGGGTTTCCTGTCCTTCTCCAGCTGTGGCTTCCTCTTTTCTCGAGCCCTTGTTTGCAAAGATGTGTTGGAATCTGTGTCTTCACTGTCAATGTCCATCCTGTCAGGTTTTTCCTCCTCACTCTCTTCCTCCTGCTTTATATGTGCAGGTACTCTGACCTTCTTCCTGCCCCCAGGCACTGTCCCAGAAGCTGCTGGCCCAGCAGGGGGCGGGACATACTCCATCCCTGGGTCTATGACTCCATCACCTTCCAACTCATCGTCATCTGTGGAAGTATAAAACAGGACAAAAGAAATAGAGCACACCGCACACAAGGTGAAAACATACACTTTCATATCATGGGCCAGGCATAAAATAAAGACCCATGAAAGGCAAGACTTACCGTGAAACAAGGCTTGTGGTGGCATCACATCTGGAATCAGATCTGCTTCTGAAAGCAAGCTGGGCGTGGCTGAGTGAGAGGCAGGGGTCCCGGGGGCAGAGAAATCCAGAGAGGGAGATGGAGACGGGCTAGTCAGTGGAGTGCGGTCCGAGGAGCTCAAGGATGAGAAGTCGATCACTTCTCCTTTTTCTAGAATCACATCTGGCCTGCGGCCCCGGCTTATGAACTTTACAGGGGTCGAAGAAGTGCTCCTGTCAAGAAAGCCAGCAGCTTCCTTCTGGGCTCTTCTAATGTCTTTCGCTTCCTGAGTGCGACATCTTTTCTCTTTTAATTCCATGGCTGATTCCACAGGATTGCGACTTGCCCGCTTTCTAAGTCCCTCGACAGTAATGATGGGATCTAAAGTTGGTTTTGAGGCTGATGGAAAAGAATAAATACCTCAATTTTTAAATAACCAATCAACTTTAGTTTCTTTTACTAATTTATTATTGTAAACGTACTACCACATTCAAAATAGAGGAATGTTTGCCCTGGTGGGTGTGTCGTGGTCCCATGCACTGAAAGGTCACCGGTTAGATTCCCGGTCAGGGTACATGACCATGTTTCGTGTTCAGCCCTGGACCATATGGGAGGCAACCAATCGATGTTTCTCTCTCACATCAATATTTTTCTCTCTCTCCCTCCCTGCCTTAAATGAGGACTTAGACATCTCTTAACAAGAAAAAAAATTATAATGAAAATTTAAACAATTAAACACTATCTTCCACCAACTGGAATAGGTAAGCATTAAAATTCTGATAATGCTCAGCAAGTATATGGGGAAGTGAACATTTTCATACCAGCACGTAAATTTTATTACAACTTTTTGGAAGGTAGCCTGGCAATACTGATTAAAGTTTTGAATGAGCATGCATTTAATACAGTAACACACTTCCAGGAATTACACAAAAATTTGCACATGCACACAAAACTGTACAATTATATTGTTGTTTATTTATTTTTTAAATACATTTTTATTGATTTCAGAGAGGAAGGGAGAGGAAGAGAGAGAGATAGAAACATCAATGATGAGAATCATTGATCAGCTGCCTCCTGCACATCCCCTACTGGGAACTGAGCCCACAACCAAGACATGTGCCCTTGACTGGAATCGAACCTGGGACCCTCCAGTCCGCAGGCCAACACTCTATCCACTGAGCCAAACCGGCTAGGGCCATATTGTTGTTTAAAATAACAACAATAAAAGGTTCTAGAAATAACCAAAATGTCCATCAACAGGGGTTTAATAAATTATCATATAGCCATTCAATGGAATGCAATGAAATAAAAGAAAACATGGCAGCCTGGCCAGCGTGGCTCAATGGTTGAGCATTGACCTATGAACCAGGAGGTCCTGGTTCGATTCCTGGTCAGGACACATGCCCGGGTTGTGGGCTCGATTCCCAGTGGGTACCATGCAGGAGGAAGCCAGTCAATGAGTCTCTTCATCATTGATGTTTCTGTCTCTCTCTCTCTGTCCCTTCCTCTCTGAAATTAATTAGAAAGAAAGAAAGAGAGGGAGGGAGGGAGGGAGGGAGGGAGGGAGGGAGGGAGGAAGGGAGGGAGGGAGGGAGAGAGGGAGGGAGGGAGGGAGGGAGGGAGGGGAGGGAGGGAGGGAGAGAGAGAGAGAGAGAAAGAAAGAAAGAAAGAAAGAAAGAAAGAAAGAAAGAAAGAAAGAAAGAAAGAAGAAAGAAAGAAAGAAAGAAAGAAGAAAGAAAGAAAGAAGAAAGAAAGAAAGAGAGAAAGAAAGAAAGAAAGGCAGGCAGATCTGCATGTACTGCTATGGAAAGATATCCAAGGTATACTGGTAAGTGGAGGGAAAAATGGAGAATAAGTATTGTGAGTCCATTTACAGTTTTTCTTTTAAAAAAATAAGAAAATGCTTAAATGTTCAGACGATTTCTAAATGCATTCACAAGAGTCAACAGTGGTTACTCTGGAAAGTGAAACTGCAGGAAGGGGTGGGTGCAGAGGAGCAACTTCCAGACCTTATATCCTTCAATCCTACCTGACTTTCTTTCCAATTATATATTTTTTAAATGTAAAAGCTCATTAAAACCTTTTTAGATTCAAAAAAATCAGACCAATGTATGACAGTAAAGAATTACTATTAATTCTCTTAAAATTGTGAAAATGGTATTATGGTTAGACTACAAAAAAGAAAGAGTTCACACCATGTAGAGATACATACTGACATTTTTAAGAATGCTATGTTGGTACCTAGGATTGCTCCTAAAGAATCCAAGGGTGGGATGGGTAGAGGGTTGGGGGAAAGTACTATGGGTCTAGATCAGGAGTGGGGAACCTTTTTATGTCAAGGGCCATTTGGATATTTATAACATCATTCATGGGCCATACAAAAGTATCAACTTAAAAATTAGCCTGCTATATTTGGTCAAACATTTAATTAACTCACCCCTAATGCCTTGGCAAGGCCAGGCCAAATGATTAAGTGGGCCTTATACGACTTGAGGGCTGGACATTGCTCACCCCTGGTCTAGATAAAATGAGATTGCCAGCAGTTAGCTGTTGAAATGAGGTGAAAGGTATGTGGGGATTCATTATATTATTCTCTGCACATTTGCACATTTAAAAATTTTTCCATAATAAAAAGTTTAAAAACGAAATCAGGTTAAACTAGAGAACCTTTCAGATATTAAAGGAAATTTATTAAAACTGGTAACTTAATTAGGAAATTATCCCATTTTTATTTAGTATTTATTTACAGGATACAAAAAATGTGTCACATAAAACTGCCAAGCAGAGTCCTTCCACAGCAGATGAGCTATGCCTGGTAAAGTGGGATTATCTCCTGAGCTCACCCTTACGGCTTTGGGCTGGCTAGCACCTCCTACACTGCTCTCACAGCAGTACCTTTTACTTTCAAAGCAGAGGCAGACAACTTCTCTCCTTCAGGTTTCATTGTCGGGGGCTTGTTGTGAACAAGTTTCCACCATCCTGGTTCTCCGAATTCCTGAGCACCTGAACGGAAGTACATAGGACTTCCCACGCTGAGGCAACCTGCTACTGTGCTCCACCAGGTCGAAGTTTTTTTCCTGGAGAGTCCAAGAATTTAAAAATGATTTTTTAAAAAATTCTATCATTATATAGAAAATACACTCTATGTATACTCTATGACTCCTGGCCTACGATATGCTCTGAACCTGAGAAATTTGAAGGAACGTAAGTTAAGAGAGGCTCTGAGGTCTGTCTGGCTTCAAATCCTGCCTCTACCACTTCCTAGCTGCCTCAGTTTCCTCATCTTTAAAATTAGGATCATAGAACTTACCTCACTAGGTCGTTGTGGGGATTAAATGACATAATTCAAACAAAGCTTATAAAACAATTCTGATTACAATCATCATGAATACCAAGTTCTATAATTTTAATTAAACAAGCTGCTTTTATATGTGAATTAAATACAGCTCTCAAGAATGCATGCAGGAGAATCATTAGCCATGGTAAATAGTTCATTCTACCCAGGTATCAGATGCATCTCTCACTCTGTTCCTATTGGCCTTTACACAGCAGAGTGGGAATAAAATTATATTGTGTGTTCCACAAAGAAAGAACTGAACTTTGGGGGAATAACTCTGCCAAAAAAAAGAATGTATATAACAAAAATTTTTAAATATGTTAAATGTCAACTATTCAGATTCTTCCTGTTGAAAATTCTTTCAAAGGCAACTGTTTTATTTCCACCTTGAAAACATACGTCAATCACCAGAAATACTTTCGTAAGAAGGCCAGACTAACAGTTTCAAAATATTGCTAGGAGGCAAAAGAAAAAAGTATTCTTAGGAACAAAGATGTACTAGAACACACAGAAGAAAAAACTTTAATAGGCATAAGCACTGTCTGTGATGGGGCAAATAACACCCTAGCTTTCACTGGCAATGTTCTGGTCACAAGCACTAACTCCTTTGGTCTCCTCCACTCAACTTCTTCTAACTTTCCAAGCCCCCTCTTCTTGCCCAAAGAATATGATCAAGGGGGAAGCCATTCTACTTGCTTTCTCACACAATGAGTATGTTAGTCCAGTTGGTAGTGTCCCACAGGTCCCGTAGGCTCTGTTCACTTCTCTTTGATCTTTTTCCTTTTCCTCAGATCTTATAATTCCCATTGACCCATCCTCAAGTTCACTAAATCTTTTTCTGCTTGCTCAAATCTGCCTTTTAATCCCTCCAGTGAATATTTCATTACAGTATTGTACTTTCCAGTTCCAGAATTTCTTTTTAGGTTTTCTACCTTTTTATTGATATTCCTATTTTGTTCATACAATGTTTTCTAGACTTTCTCCCCATCTTCCTTTAGTTCTTTGAGCATCTTTAAGACAGTTGTTTTAAAGTCTTTCCTTCATAGATCCATTAGGTCTTCTTAAGGAAGTCCTGGTTGGTTTATTTATTTTCCCTTGAATGGGCCATACCTTTTGTTGTTTCTTTGTATTCTTTCTAATTTTTAATTGAAAATTTAACTTAATAATGTAGTAACTCTGGAAATTAGATCACTATCCTTCCCCAAAGTTTGTTTTTTTACTGTTGTGGGCTGTTTCCCTGTGCCAAATATCAGTATGAGTTGTATAAGGTCTTCTTGGGTCATTTCTGAACTTGCACCTTCCCCTGAGCACATGTAGTGACTTTCTAATTTTCTCTGTATATATAAATGTAGTTGCTTTTGAACATCTTAGCCTTCAATGTCTACTCCAAAAGGAGAACAAAGAGAAAAATAAAGGGGAGAGAAGAAGGCACCAGCCTGTTAATCCCGTAAAGTTGGTTCAGCCAGAGGGAAAGGGGCTGGCCACAATAGGGAAGGGGCAACAATGGCTGCCCACCTTTGTCTGCAACCTTATGATCAGCAGCAGCAATCAGTGACCAGAGCACAGATCACAATACTTGGAGGAGTGTTCTTTTTGTATACCCTGGCTCCCATAAGTTGTGTGCAAGCTGCTCTAAGAGCATGCACATTGCTGCCTACTACAGGCTGAAAGGCGTGGGAGAGGCAGAAGCTACAGTGCTGAGTTGAAAGTGATTAAAATTAACAGCAATTTACTGTACAAACCTTCCCCTGGAAGTTGCAAGTCTTCAACAGACTCCAAAATTCCAAAATAGTTATATCAGACAGATTCTACAATTCCAATCGTTTTCTAAGTAGGGAGACAGATTTCTGGTGCTTCCTACTTTGCCATCTCCCCAGAATCGTCATATATAATTTTTTTGAATTTTAAATACTACGAATGTGCTGTCTCATATTTCATCAAATATAAGATCTACTGATTTTAAGATATATCATTTTATGTACAAGAAAGGAAACTATCAAATTTTGACACATCATCACTACTTGTAAGATATATCCAGCTGTCAGAGAAATCAAAATTTGAACTATTATGCATCTTAAAATCAATGAAATATGATAACAGAATAAAGCATTCAAATTATTCTTCAAAGGTATAATCAAAGTTATATCTTCTGGAAGAATTCAAGGCTAGGATTGTAAAAGCAAATTAAATGATCACACAATGGCAATTAAACTATAGTAATTAATAAAGCTTTTGTATACTTTTTGTTTCTACAATAAGTACATAAAGTTATTTAGGTTGACCCTAAATAATCCTTTACACACTTAAACTTTAATAAAAATTAAAGGCATAAAAGCAAATCCTATAAATATCTGGAAGAAAATGTATTCAAATTCAGAACTTCATTACACAGTATACTATTTGCTTAGCTCTTTTTTAAAAAAAAATTGATTTGAGAGAGAGAAAGACCGATGTGAGAGAGATACATCAATTGGTTGGCTGCCTCCTGCATGTGCCCTAACCGAGGATCAAACCTGCAACCTAAGTATGTGCCCGGAAATCGAACCTCCAACCTTCTGGTGCACCAGACAATGCTTCAACCAAGTGAGCCACACAGGCCAGGGCTATTCGCTTAGCTCTTACGGCAAATAAGAAACGGTATCATTGTTAGGAATTTAAAATATGGTCTATGGCAGTGATGGCGAACCTTTTGAGCTCAGCGTGTCAGCATTTTGAAAAACCCTAACTTAACTCTGGTGCCGTGTCACATATAGAAATTTTTTGATATTTGCAACCATAGTAAAACAAAGACTTATATTTTTGATATTTATTTTATATATTTAAATGCCATTTAACAAAGAAAAATTAACCAAAAAAATGAGTTCGCGTGTCACCTCTGACACGCGTGTCATAGGTTCGCCATCACTGGTCTATGGATAGCAGAATTAAAATCTTTAGTAGTTATAAAAAAAGTATGACTGCAAGTGCTCTTTTGCAGTGTGGTCCTCTAGGGTGTAGTAACTCTGTGTATGTTCATATACAGAGACATCTGAGCACATGGTAATCACATCAGGGAGCAGCTTCAGGTGACTTTCCAATCACTGATGTTTAAAGCAGAGTTCCCAATAACAACAACAACAAAACAAAAAAGACCAAAAAAAAGAAACACAAACAGAAAAAAAAGACAAAAACAAAAACAAAATAAAATAAAGCAGAGTTCTCAAAGTAAAGGTCAGCACTGGGCAGGAAACTGAGTGGCAAGGAATCAGAGTAATTTTTCCTTCTCTTTCTCCTTCTGGTTAGATCAAGGAGAAAGTTTATTGCTTGAAATTCTAACACATGTACCCACCCCTTTTGATCAAGAAAGAAGGTCTCAGATTGACTCAATAGGCCATGGGCTCCAGCTACAACTTAATGGCATTGTTTTATTTTTAGTGCATTTATTTTTATAGTTTCATTGTATTTATGGCAAATTATATTATTTTTTGCTCACCAAGGTGGTGTGAAGTTTCTTTTTAAAGTGAATGTATTTTTTAAGTAAGTAAATTATAATTTTAAATAAGTAAATGACAATTCAAGTGACACATTATTATGGCCCAAACTACTAGTGTCAATGGTTAAACTACACAGCAGCTGGAAAGTAATTAATGCCTTTCGGTAAACATATTAAAAAGAACAGGCTCTAGAAATGAACAAATGACACTAACAACTTCTGTTAAAATAACGGCAATATCCTTAAAAACAGGCAATTTAAATCCAAGTTCTTCCAGAAGATAATCCATTAAACAGAGCAGCACTGAGATCATGAAAACATTCCAAGATCTAATTTTATCCGTTTTTTTTCTTTTTTGTCCCTTATAAATGGGATGTATTAAGTCCCACAAATAGTGCTAAATCATTGAACTAAGACAACAGATTTCCTTTAAGAACCAGTTATACTGTCAATTCTTTTCTTAGTACCACTAAAATTACTCAAGAACAAAAATAACTTCTTTTGTAAAAATGTACTGAATCTATTCTATTTTTTCCTCAGAGCAAGCCTTCAGAATGTTGTCCCTCCTTTTAAATGCCTTCCCTGATTTCCTAGCAGCATTAGCAGAGCTGTGACTTCTCAGCACCAGAGGAAATAGAGGCTGTAGTGGGTTCAGAGAGAGGACATGTACAAACTCCCTGCTCTGACCTGCTGTGATCAGAGCCTTTACCTATCTTGTCTACACTGACCCTATATGCAAGATTTATGAATCCCATAAATGGCAATTAACAATCAGAATCTCAAACAGAACTGACCAATCCAATTGTAAACTCGTTAATCTCTAAATAGCAATAAGGATAGCAATAAAAATCTTAGTAGATTCACATGAACATTTAGTTAAAACATATGGTCTCAAGCCCTGGCCAGTGTGGCTCAGTTGGTTGGAGCATTGTCCCATATACAAGAAGGTCAGGTTTAATTCCCAATCAGGGAACATAACCAGGTTGCAGGATCAATCCCCAGTCGGGGCGCATAGAGAAGGCTACAGATTACCGATTAATGTATATTTCTCTCTCTACCCCCTTTTCCTCCTTCTCTAAAAAAAACACAAGCAAACAAAAAGACACCATATGGTCTCAATATCTGTGCACTGACATCGCTAAGTCTGATGAACTAAAACAGCCACCACGGAGGAGTGCACTTAGCAGCAAAAAAAACAAACAAACAAAAAAAAAAACTATTAAAGTGAAAAGAGGAATGAATGACTAAGCCATATGTATAACGTATCTAGATCTTGCTAAGCACTGTCATACCAAAAAGTATAAAACTGTTTCTCCCTTCTAGTTAATAAAAATAAATACAAACTAATGACTCTATTAATGAAAAGAAATATAAATGGGCGCAGTCAATAACTGCCATTATTTTTCTTCTGATAAGGCAATGATTTTAAAAGGATAGTAATAATGCTATCTCCTCCAATTAAATAGTTACTCACTCAACTATTAAACAGCCTCATTTAATCAAACTATTTTTTAACGTTCTACAAACCTCTTCAAAATCTCCTAATGCTCAGTATAAATCAAGTTACTTCTCGAAATAGGATGAGTGACTACACTTTTAATAGTATATACTTTCACTTTGATTTTTCATAAACAAGTTTTTTAACTTAAAAAAGGAACATTTTCTGGATTACAAAATTCTCTGTAATTGCCACAAGCAAATGCATACTCTAATTCTCTAGAGCAGTGATTTTCAACCAGTGTGCCACAAGCATTTTTATTTTTATTTTTCAAAATAATTCTTTATTGTTGAATGTATTACATATGTGCCACAAGAATTTTTAAAACATGCAATACCTTATTTCGTCAGGGGCACTGACCTCTTTTCCCTTAGATTGTCAAATAAAAAAAAAATGGCAATAGCAAAGACAACAATAGCTGTCCAGTGTGAATAAATCAAAATTATACCTTTTCTCTTTTTTTGTCAGACTGGCAAAAATGTATTTTTTTGTGTGCTGCAAAATTTTTGTAATTAGTTTGTGTGTGCCATGAGATAAAAAAGGTTGAAAATTGCTGCTCTAGAGGGCTGCACTAGGCTGGCACACATCTTATATTCATTCTTTATATCTTTGTTCAAGTATAAGATTTTTTTAAAAATCACATTACCTATTCCCTAGTAAAAAAGTCCAATGTTTCTCAATAAAAGCACAGATATCCTCTTTCCACCTGAAATAACCTTGACGTCCACTTCCTTCCAGAGACAAGTTGTACATTGCCAACATGACAACCTGAAAAACAAACCAAACAAGGACTGGGACAGAAGCATGATTAAGGGTGTTAATCTTGAGGGAGAAAATTTGTTGTTATATCCTAAATAGTAATGCTGGAGAACAGAGGGGGAAAAGGAAGGATAATATCTTGGAATATTCTCAGTATAGAATTTTACTTTCCTTTTTGCTCTCAGATGAGTCTGACTCATCCACTTAGTTATGTGCAGTCTTTCTTTACGTGTTACATGCGCAGGGCTGATGTGTGGTTGGCTGATTATGATAAACTAGGGGCCCGGTGCGCGAAATTCGTGCACTGGGTGTGTGTGTGTGGGGGGGTGGGGAGTGTCCCTCAGCCCAGCCTGCCCCCTCTCACATACTGGGAGCCCTCAGGCGTTGACCCCCATCACCCTCCAATCGCAGGATCGGCCCCTTGCCCAGGCCTGATGCCTCTGACAGAGGCATCAGGCCTGGGCAGGGGACCCTCATTTCCCCCCATCACTGGTTCTGCCCCCAGCACAGGCCTGATGCCTCTGGCCCAGGCGTCAGGCATGGGCAGGGGACCCCCAGACCCCTCCGATTGCTGGCTCTGCCCCTTGCCCAGGCCTGATGCCTCGGCCAGAGACGTAGACCCCCATCACCCTCCGATCGCCTGATCGGCCCCTTGCCCAGGCCTGACGCCTCCGCCAGAGATGTCAGGCTTGGACAGGGGAGCCCCATCTCCCCCCGATCACTGGCTCTGACCCCCGCCCAGGCCTGAGGCCTCTGGCCCAGGAATCATGCCTGGGCAGAGGACCCCCATCTCCCTCTGATCGCTTGCTCCACCCCCCCGCTCAAGCCTGATGCCTCTGACCCAGGCTTCAGGCCTAGGCAAGGGGACCATCATATCCCCCCAATCCCCAGCTCCGACCCTCACCCAGGCCTGATGCCTCAGCCAGAGGAGTTGACCCTCATCACCCTCTGATCACCAATCACCGGATCGGCCCCTTGACCAGGCCTGAGGCCTGCGGCAGAGGTGTCAGGCCTGGGCAGGGGACCCCCAGCTCTCCGCGGTTGCAGGCTCCGCCCCTGCCCAGGCCTAACGCCTCTGGCCTAGGCGTCCGGCCTGGGCAGCGGGGACCCGCAGCTGCAGTGGCCCCGCGATCGTGGGCTTCGCTTTAGGCCCAGGCAAGGGACCCCTAGCTCCCGGGACTGCCAGCTTCGACCGTGCCCAGCTCCCATCGCTGGCTCCACCCCTACTTCCTGCTATCGCTGGCCAGGGTGGAAAAGGCACCTGATTCTCCAATCATGGCTGGGGGGCAGGGCAAAGGCGGACCCAGGGCCGCCTTTGCCCTGCCCCCCAGCTCTTAGCTCCCCCCTGGGTTTCCGATCACTGTCGGTGGCAGGGGGCTTCTTCCTGCTTTCCCTTTCGCCTCCCTGCATTGTGCCTACATATGCAAATTAGCCGCCATCTTGTTGGCAGTTAATTTGCATATAGCCCTGATTAGCCAATGAAAAGGGTAGCGCCGTACACCAATTTTCTCTTTTATTAGTGTAGATAACCACTGTCCTGGGGTGAACCCCCAGCCCAGTACCCCTCCATCCTCCACAATGCAGAACTAACAAAAGTGTTAACTACTGGCCATCACAAGGCCTCCACGTATCTACTCCAGCCAGCATCTTGACCAACAGTGCTAACTCTATTGAATATTTTGAAAATCATCCCTGCATATATATTTTCTAAGCTCTTTAGAGGGCAGAAACAAATGACTCAGAATTTCAGAGCTGAAAATAATGTGACACACCATCTACTCAGTATTTAATCTATTTTAGCTGTGGAAACCTTTCTTCAAATGAAATCAGCAATCAACAAGGGGCAGAGACCTGAAAGGCCTGGCTGCTCTGCCCCTTCTCAAAGGGCTCACTCCCCAGAGTTCAATCTGAAAACTCCTAACCTAGAACAACCTGGTTATTTTACAGATAATAAATTCATGGCCCCGAATGGGGAAGTATTTTCTAGGACTATAAATAACACATGCTCATTGTAAAAGACTTCAATAATAGAAAAAAGAGAAAAGAAGTACGTAAAGATCACTTTAAATCCACAATCAAGAAATAATCAGCCCGGACAGCGTGGCTTAGTGGTTGAGCATCCAGGTCACGGAGGAGAGTACATGCCTGGGTTGCAGGCTCGACCCCCAGTGTGGGGCATGCAGGGGGCAGCCAATCAATGATTCTTTCATCATTGATATTTCTATCTCTCTCTCCCTCTCTTTCCTTCTCTGAAATCAATAAAAATATATTAAAAGAAATAATAACTTTTAACATTTTCAGTGACTGTCCTTTCAAACATTCCTTTTTGTGTCTACATGTAATTTTGTAATTATGTAATTTTATGTAAATGAACAAAACTATACAAGCTATTCAAAACCATGAATTCAATCTAGTAAAAATAATGACTAATTTTGGGCCAATGAAATTGAAAAGGGGACAGAGAATCTAAAGCAGTGGTTCCCAAACTTATTTGGCCTACCGCCCCCTTTCCAGAAAAAATATTACTCAGCGCCCCCTGGAAATTAATTTTTTAAAAATTTTAATAGCAATTAAACAGAAAGATATATGTATTAATGTTTCTACCTTTTTCGTAAAATATAGTAAAGAAAGGTGTAAATTAGAAACATTGAAGTTTGAAATTATGAAACTATTTATTGAACTCAGAATAGAAAGGTAATACAAAAAAAGTTAAAACAAATGCACCTGTGGCCATCATCGCCCCCTGGATGGCTACAGCACCCACCAGGGGGCAGTAGCGCCCACTTTGGGAATCACTGATCTAAAGAGAAGAAGATAAAAATCCTGCCTGGCAGGTGTGGCTCAATGGTTGAGTGTGTCAACCTATGAACCAGGTGGTTACAGTTAAGACTCCCAGTCAGGGCACATATCCAGGTTGTGGGCTCAATGCCCGGTAGGGGGCGTGCAGGAGGCAGCTGATTAATGATTATCTCTCATCATTGATATGCTTATCTTTCTTTCCCTCTCCCTTCTTCTCTAAAATCAATAAAAATATTTTTTTAGGATGGTGAAGACCTGGGGGGGTTTTAAGAACTGGGAGGAGGGGGGTAAAGAGGGGACAAATGGGAGACATCTGTAATACTATCAATAATGAATATATATATATATTTGAAAAAAATTTTAATCCTTAAATAATTATTTCCATAAGGAGTGTCCTGAAGCTGTAAGGAATCTAATAAAGTGCAATTCATGCCCCATCATCTGGGTCCACAGCATAACTCCCAATGGTACCACGAGAAGACTTATGCCTTATGAAGGCAATTCTGCTGTTTCCACTGAGTTTCAGTTTCTGCCATCCTTAAACTTGTAAAACTTGCAGATGGCCTAACAAATAATTAACCCCATGAACAGATTTTTCAAATTCTTTCACTGATTTTTGCATTGGGTCAACCAAAAAGCAGTAATTGTTCATGAGGAGTTACTATTTAATGGATATGGAATTTCAGTTTGGGAAGATAAGAAAATTCTGGAGGAGAAACCAAGATGGCGGCATAGGTAAACACGGGGAATTGCTGCCTCGCAATTCAAAAATACAACTCAAAGACAAAACAGACATCATCCAGAACCACAGGAAGGCTGGCTGAGTGGAAATTCTACAACTAGAAGGAGAGAGAAAAGCACACGGAGACTCAGAGGAGGTGCGGAAGTAAAGTGCAGAGGTATGGAGGCGCACATGGAAAGGGCTGGCAACTGAGGACACGGTTGTCTTTTTCAATAGGGAGGGAGTCTCAAGCTCCCGACTGCTCTGAACTCCAGTTCCAGGCAAGTCTCTGGGGACCCAGACTCATACGGTGAGAAACTGGACTGTCTGGCATCAGTTGGAACTCAAGGGCAGCTTTCTCTTAGAGGTACTTGCAGCGATTACTGGGACACTGAGACTCGGGGCCTCTTAGGGTAGGACTGAGGAGCAGCCATAGCTGCTTGCTCTGCCCTGTTGATCCCCTGAGACCCTGTCCCACCCAAGCTGTGCGCAGAGGCTTTTGCATATGAAAGGCCTGGCCCTTTGCAATCTGAAAATTACCTAACAAACTGCAGCTGGGTCAGAGAGACCCAGAACTTCCAAAAGAAGGCCCAAGGCCCCACATCAGCTTGCACTGCTTCACAGCTGGGCCTCATCTGGGCACCTCCAAACCCCAAACAAAGAAGAGGAATCTGCAGATCTCTCCATAGCTCCTGCTGGGTAGCCTCAGGCAGAGGCTAAATTAGCACCTCCTTAGAGATCCAAGAGCCAGTGTACCCAGTGGTCAGAGTGGGACCATCCAGATTACAACTCCTCAGACCCATAAGGGACACACTAAGGGGACAGACTCAGTGAGCACCAAAGCCCCACTGAAGCAAGTCTTGTCCCAGAAGGGTGTCTCCAGCACAGAAGTTCTCCACTGCAGACACAGCTGATTCTCACAGCCAATTAGCCTGGAGGTCAATTCCTCCCAGTGATCCCAACAACAACCAAGGCTTAACTACAAGACTGTGCACAAAGCCCACAAAGGAGTGCACCAAGAGTGTCCACCTCAGGTAATTGTGGAGGCTGAGCCACTGGGCCTTATAGGACACCTAGCACAGAAAGCCACTCTATCAACACAGGGAAGCTGCCAAAATGCGGAGACAAAGAAACAGGTCACAAATGACAGAAATGGAGGAAAGCAAACTACTGGATATAGAGTTCAAAACCATGGTTATAAGGTTTTTCAAGAATTTTCTAGAAACTGCCAATAAATTTAGTGATACCCTCAAGAAATCTATTGAGACCCTCGAGAATATGAAAAAGGACCAACTAGAAATTAACACATTGTTTGCAGGTAGTTTTTATCGTGCGTTAACAGGTGGCGCGGGCCATTTTTGCTAATTTTTTGCGCAAATGGCAACGTTCAGTAAAATTACGATAACTTTAGTTTATGTATTTATACGTTACCCGCATTCTACCGCTAGTCTATAAAAAACGTATTAATACGTGTCCCGCGCTCTACTAC